CTGATACCTGACGCGGCGGCTGCAATTCTAACTGAGAATTCCCACTGGGATGATATTCCCTTTCCCAACCTTGGATGCTAAGATCAGTTTCAGGGTGATTACCCAACTCGGTGTAAAAAACACCGCAGCCATGGGCCCCAAGGCTTTGCGGCAGTCACAGGTGTTGATCATGCCGGGTGCACGACACCCCCTCGATTTCCTGTCACGTGCACTGTTAAGTTAACAAAGACTGACCCCCGACAACAGTGAATGGAACAGACCATCTGTAATACAGTAGAGGGGGAGGGATGGGTGGGTAGGGGGGGGTGAGAATGAGCCACCTGGCATTGTCAAAGTCACACTGATTAATAGCTGCCTAAGCTGCTTACACAAAATGTACAGTGAAAGAGGTAGCAAACAAAAGGGACAATTAATGAATGAACACCACAACAGGCTGGACGTTGGATCATAGCGGATCAGATAGGAAAAATGGGTCATGGAAGAAGTGGTGTGGAGATAAAGAGGTGGTTATGCAGTTTAATAGGTGGATCAAGACCCTATTAATGACATCTGACGGAAAGATATCTCATTAAAAACGGGCTTTTACAAACAAACAGATAATGTTGATTATTGGTGTTTGTGCCACGAGTTGCCATTCATCTCCATACAGATGCTTAACAATTACAGAGGGAGGAATCCATCTTAAAAGAAGCCGAGGTATAGAAGCAGTTTCTCTAGTAGCCTCAGTAGACCAGAATGCATTGCAGCCCCAACACAAGTGAGCAAGGGTGCAACTTTTGCCTTTTCTCCACCTACAAATTATAACCCACGGCTACATCCAACAAGTGCGAACCCGTTCTCCGATGGTTGTTGCAAGGTAACCTGGGAAATGTATGAAGGTCGACAAGGCAGCTTGAGGGACATTTAATCATAAAATAACTCCTGAGAACTGTGAATAAAAAATATCCAACCATGTACAAGTGTCTAAAAGTGGACTCCTCCTTTAAGAGTGTAAATCCCGCCTGGACTAACCCGGACTAAAAATTGTGTTGCAGGAGAAAACGTTCACCCAATGGCACAGATATGAAATCCAGCATGGCAAAGACATCGAATTGTAGGTCGATCTTCGCCGTTCGCATCCCTAGTTGTCTTTATATAGCGGTGCGTGCGTGCTTGAGTGCACCTGCAGAACGAGGACCCACATCATGTAGTGCCCCTGAAAGGAGGAGAGGGTGCCCTCCTTCTGCCTACTCCAATCAGCGGTGCAGCCGGAGGGTAGAGGCTGCATTGGGCGTACATCGTCACATCTCTACGCCGCCCACATTTCCTGATGGCGGGTATATGCACACTCAACAATACAAAACCGAGGCGTAAGAGTGTAAAAGTACATGTTTTCTCAGGCTCCGCAACCTGCGTGTGGATCAAACAATTGATTTCCTGCCATAGAGGGCAATGATACAAGTCTCTCAGTCTGTGTGAAAAGGCCAACAGGAAAAGCAACTCTCTATCTGGAACAGTAGCGGTTTTGCTGGCTACAGGCGGACTGCTTAGCCATTTGTCTTTGTTTCCAAATGGCAGGGGCAGCTGCCACCAAAGGTCAGCAAAATGTTACCAGAACAAGGCCCTATAGTGGCTGAGACCACGTGCCTGTGACAAGAGGGGCGACACACCCAGGTGGAATGACACATAGGCACTCTCGTTTTCAATCACACCCGTAATGCGCCGTCTTGTTTGCCATCAAGGAGCTGGGCCCTGATGCAGCTGTGCCCCCCCCCC